CAACAACAACACCACCAACAGAGGAAACACAAACAACACAAACAACACCAACAACAACACCACCAACAGAGGAAACACAAACAACACCAACAACACCAACAACAACACCAACAACACCAACACCAACAACAACACCACCAACAGAGGGAACACAAACAACACAAAAAACAGAGGGAACGCCAACAAAAGTAACATCAGCAACTGAGGTGACAGAAAACAGTAACAATATGGGACCACAACTGACTAATCTATCTGATGCTGACAACAAACGAGATAATACTGTCCCTTATGAGGAACTGCGCACTATTATCAGTGATATTTTTGAGCGTCACGAGGCTGCCTTGTGCAAGAGAGTAGACCATATGAATGCATCGTTAGAGAGGCGGCTGGCTGCCTTTGACGAGAAACTGCAACAGTATGAAGAGAAACTGTGTGCACGGGAGAGACAGGAGCGCACACAACTTGATGACGTTGTTGCCCTAGTAAGGCAGCACTCTGTGTACCTAGAAAGCCTACGACAGTTTGCGGAAGACACCAAGTCTTTAATTGTCAAAGTAAGTAATACACAGGAGCAAAGATTATTATCCTTAGCCCAAGAATTGACAGACACAAAAATGAAAGAGGCTAGTCGTATTCAAGATGAGTTGGAAAAATGCTCCACTTTGGTTGGGAAACTGGACGAGGCTAGAGAAAAACAAGCAGATCTTCACAACAGTTGGAATCAAAGATTGGACCAGAACGCGAATTTTTCACAGAGTCAATTGAGCCTTTTAAACTGTCTCTATGAGCAACAGGAACAAGGGCTTAACCGTTTGAGTCAGGTGAATGAAGAGAACACCAACAACTGTTCGAACCTGTCAAGGTTGGTGGTAGAACAAAGTGCCATGCTGAACGTTGTACAAGATGTTCAAAAACAGGAGTCAAGTGTCTTACAGTTTGTGAACCATATTCAGGGGAAGATGTGTACGACTCAAGAAAAAGAAGAATCTGTTTTGGAGACTCTCATTTCGATCCAAGAGGGGGAAAGAACAGTGTTATCCTCAGTGAACGAGCTGAAGACGACAGAAGAGGGACTGCTGGAACATATGGCACAAATACAAGAAAAGGAACAAAAGAATGCAGAGACGATGGCCTCCCTTCTCACGTGTGCGACCAACTTGATGAATGAAGAATTCCAAGTTTTACAGAAAATAAAAAATACATTAGATGACGAGAACAGCAGGCTTGCCAGCATAGGCGAGGTGTTGAGAAACATGAGCCAAAACTGTCAGTCTGTCACGGGCATGATTGCTCAAGGCGGAGAACTCACCAACAGAATACAGACAGCGCTGACCAGTGCATCGAACTATGTCGCTGCAGCCGGGGAACTGGTCAGGCTAGAAGAGCACAAGGCGGAGACGATAACTCGGCTGCAAGAAGAAGAGGAAAGACTTTGCTCTTTGTTAAAAACCGCGCACGTCACTGGCAGTCAGATGGCTGCGGAGATCTGCGGCCTGCATAACAAAATGGACGAGCTCACGAAGCAGCAGGGCTGTGTTTTAAGAGAGTTAGGCCAAGTACAAAGTGAAAGCCGAAACGCTTTGGCTGCCACTGAAGACATCCAGAAAAGAGAAAACAATTCGCTCAGGGACATTGAGAATCTTCAAGTGAAAGAAGACGAACTACTCCGACTCTTGTCCACCACTCAGAGCACAGAGAACGCTGTGTTGGCAAGCGCGTCCGAAGTTCTGCGAAACGAAAACAAACATCTTAAGACTATTCAGACTATTTTGGGTGAACAAAAAGAAACCAGCAAATCGCTCTCCACGCTACAGAACAACGAGATCTGTGTGTTGGACAAGCTGACCGAGGGTCAGCGACTGACGAACGACACGTGCACGGCCCTGGCGGAGAACACTAAGCTGGGCTTCCAGAGCGTGGTGAGCAGCCTTGAGCAGTGTCAGACAAAGGAGGACGGACACCACTCACAGGTCAAGTGGGAGCTGCTGGAGCTACGCAATCTGCAGTCACAGCTCAGCCACAACAGCTCCGTGCACGTGCAAGACTGCACCAAGCACCTGGCCGACCTTATACAGAACCAGTCCGTCTAGCTGGCCGGGGAGACGTGGAGAAGAGGACGTGTTGGGGAAGTGGAGACACGCACAAGGAAACGAGTCGGCCACTGCTCAGCTATACAACGTGACTACGAGAGAGAAGGGACGTCAGAGGTACATAACGTGATAGCGAGAGAGACTGGTCACTCAGGACACACACCACACCACTGGTCACCCTGGACACACACCACCGGTCACCCAGGACACACACCACACAACTGGTCACCCAGGACACACACCACTGGTCACCCCAGACACACACCACTGGCCACCCCAGACACACACCACTGGTCACCCCGGACACACACCACTGGTCACTTCGGACTCAGACCACTGGTCACTGTGGATTTACACCACTGGTCACTCCGGACTCACACCACTGGTCATTCAGAACACACACCAACGGTCACTGTGGACAGACGACAAGGGAAAGGCTCAGTAACATCACTAAGACAAACTGCTTTGGAATGACTGCTATCACTCTCTGAATGCATATATTAGGTTTATCATCTCTCTCTCTCTCTCTCTCTCTCTCTCTCTCTCTCTCTCTCTCTCTCTCTCTCTCTCTCTCTC